AACGCGTAATAAAAGTAAATAAAAATAAAATTCTTTTTAGGGTGTACTATTAACTAATCCTAATGTTTTTAGATAAATTTAAGTAAGAGTATAGCTATTAGGACCTGAAAAATAGTAAACTATGCTTAAATAGGGTAAAACTAGAAAAAACTCTAGTAGAGGCTTGCAGTAGTTCTAATGTGCAAATTAATTGTTAAATTTGGGTATAGGGGCAAAAAATTAATTAAACTATTTAGTAGCTAGTTCTTGCTAAAGTTTCTTTTAGAATAGTAGTAATATATTTAGTTTTATAAAGTAAAGCGAATAATTAGAAGCCTAGGGGTTAAAATAATTTTTACTTATTTTTAAACTTTAAATATGTAAAAAGTCTTTATTACTTAATTAAATGTAAATACTTGAATATACTATTACTAGTAGGCTATTTTTAGTAAGCAGAATTAGTAATGCAGAATAAACTAAATGCAGAGTTAAAGTACTAGAATATATGCTTATTAAATACTACAAAAAGTATTAGTTTATCTAGACAGTAGGACGGTGGCCATAGAAGTTAGAATTTGCTAAAAAGTATATAATAACTTACTTGCTAAATAAACTAGCTCTAAAAATAAATAGCGCTTAAGCGTATTACTTATACTCTATTGCTAGGGCAAGATTTAAGCTCTGGCAAATAGGCAGGCGTAGAGGCTTATAATAAAGCCTTAAAAGTAATTTTAAGTTAAATAGCTTCTAGTGCAGATCTTAGTAGTAGTAGCAAATACTCAAATAAAAACTTTAAAAACTAAAGTAGAGAAAGGTTCTGTATAAACAGTAGTTAAATACAGGTTAGTTAATCCTAAGAAATAGAGTAATTCTGTTTTAATATTAGCGCTTGCGCTACGCCCTTAAAAGGGAAGCTAGTTAATATTCTAGCATTTAAATATAAATTCTCTGCGGCAACGCAACTAAGAGCGGAGACTTTAGTAGGAATTCTAAAAAAAGTTTTCTTTTTTTTTTAATAGTTTATTACCCTAAAATCAGTTTGTCTGGAGCTAGGGTTTAATAGCTAAAAAAGTGCTGTATTTTTGCAGCGTTTAGTACGCTCCTAACAAGCTTTAAAAATTTATTTAAAAAAATAGTTTTTATACTAAATTGTACTTATAACCGCAGCAGGTTTCTAAAGTAAAAAGCCTCTAGTTAATAAAACAATATAAATAAAGGAAGTTAGTAAAATAAATCTATAACTTTAGAAAAAAGATTAGCTTTAAAAGTTAAGTATATTAAGCTTTAGGGAGAAGTTTCTAGCGCAAAAGGGCACTAGCCGCAAAGTAGGCACTTTTTAGCGCTAGAATATAAGTATTTTTAGCAGGCTTTAGCTATTTAGCGTGCGTTTAACAACTAACTTAGAACTAGTATAAATAAGAGGAATCTAACTATCTAATTAAAATATAGCATTGTAATAGCTAGAAAGTAGTATTAATATAATATAATTTCTGCTTAGTATTTTAAATATTAAAGCGAAGAGATTTGACTAAGCGCAGGTAAATAGTAGGAATAACTATAACTTTTTTAAAGTAGCTAAATACCTTGTTATCTAATTAGTAACGCGCATAAATAGATTAATAAAATTCCTACTATTTTTATTTACTATTTAGCAAAACTACAGCTAAGGGAACAGGCTTAGCTAAATTAGTAGGGAAAGAAAACCCTATTAAGCTTAACTCTAGTTTAATATTGTAAAAAAACATAGGGGGTATAGAATAAGTGGGAACTTCAGCGCTAGTAAAATACTACTATTTTTATAGTTTTTTTACTTATTTAATAAAGCAGAGCTGGGCTTTACTACTTAATTTCTAGCGTTAAAGTTTTTTGTAGGCCGATCCAGGTTAAAGATATTATTAGGTAGAAAATTTGGCTAGAGCAGCATATCTATTAAACTATAATGCAGGTATTTTAAAGGGGACTTATAAAGAATAGAAATTTCTAGTAGAGTAAAAGGGCAAAAGTCCCCTTAATTTTAATTTTTAGTGTAAATATAAACTATAAAAGTATAGCCTATTAATCTTTTAGTCCCTCAAAATTTGAAGCTAAAAGTGCTAGAAAAGTTACTATAGAAATAACTGGCTTGTAGTAGCTAAGCGTTTATAGCAACATTGCTTTTTAATCTTTTAATATTAGCTCTTTCTATTATACTAAAGCAGAATTTAGTAAGTATTAGATTATTTACCTACTAATAGGGAATGTAAGCTGGGTTTAGACTATTGTAAAACAGGTTAGTTTTACCCTACTAATAACTTTGCTTTAATAGTAATACTGCTTAGTACAAGAAAAACTATAGTTTTAAATAATTAGTTTTTGCAGCTGTTTAATTAGGCATTGCTATAAAGCTACTATCTGCTAGATTATAGCTAAACGCTTCTAAATTAGAATTTATGCTAGAATAGGGTAATTTTTGCCTGCACTAGTTAGATATAAATAAGCTTTTAGCCTAAAACTTTACTAGGCCGGCGTTGGCAGTTTTATTAAAGTTAGGGCTACTAGCTAGCGTATTGCAATTGTATAGTGCGCAGAATTAAATTTTTTGCAGATAATTTAGTTATTTAGCTAGGTTATGTAAGTAGTTAAGTAGCTTTATTATTATAAGCTACTAAGTATAAGCCCGCCGCTAGCTTAATTAAATATAAAATATATAACCCTCCCTGTTTATTAAAAAGCAGCAAAGTCTGCAGCAAAAAAAGGAAAGAGTATTATAAGTTTGGGGCCCCAACCCTTTAAACTAGGTAGAAAAACGCCTACTTAAACTCTTAGGGCGTTCTAGGCACCTATTTAGGCTAGGAAAACTACCTGCTTAATATAAGTAGTATTAGCTACTTAAATTGGAGGGGCTAACTACTTAAGCTAGGCAAGTCGGCAAGGGGGATAGAGATAAAGTGCTTAAAAGGCAGTAGTTTTTTTTTTGTAGTTTTTGTTGCGTAGAGAAGTTGTTTAAAAATCCAAAATATAAATTCTAGAAAAGCAAACC